TCTTTCTTTCTTTCTTTCTTTCTTTCTTTCTTTCTTTTTTGGAACCGGGGATTGAACTCAGGCCCTTGTGTTTGCCAGGCAAGCGCTTATTCTACTGAGTCATCTCCCTGGCCCCAGTATTTCTCTTTTTTAACAGCAGAATATATTTATTGAGGGAAAGAAAACTTCTGTCTGTGAGAGGGACAGAAGGATAACCAAGTGGGTTGCCCCTGAAGTATTTTTCTTAAGCTTTCTTTATAGACTTGTCATTGATAACTATATCTAGTTAGAGTGTAAAATTAATAATACTTTGTATCACTTGAACCCTTTACAGTTTTTTAAACTCATAATCTTATTGTTATGTCATAATAATCTTAGGACTGAGCTGTTTTTTTTTTCCTGATCTATGTATGGCAGAACTAAAATAGAATTTAAATGATTTTCCCAAGTTCCACATGAGCTATGGAGGTACCATAAATTCACTAAGTCGGGGAAAGTTTCAGTTACAGAACTGAACCCACTTGGTTCCTTTTTCTGATCATTCCATATGGCCTTGGGTAATGCCAGAGAGTATCAATAGAAACTGGAGCTAAAACCTGACGTAAGGAACTTGGTTCCAAAAAAGGAGGCCTGAAAAAGTCTAAATCTCTCCTTTTATAATTTATCCTTTTATAGTCTGTTGATATGGAGTTATATTAGGCCTGTCTACATGCTTTCCTGCAAGATGATGGCAGGATGGTTCTATTTCAGTGTTAACTCTGTGCAGGTCCCAGAAATAACTCCAGCCTATGAGGAGTCAATAATTTCATTGTTATATAAGAATAGATGGTGGGGGTCCTTATTTTTATGGTACCGGTATGACAGAGTGCCCTGTGGGCTTCAGTGCAGCTATGGTGGGCTGCCTGAGACATGTGGAGGAAAAGCTGCTGGCAAATGAGGAAATCTGAGGAAGAAGAATCTTTTTCAGGGCACCATTCTTGCCCAACTAATATCTGTAATTCAGGGCATAGTTCAGTTTATTTATTCTCCAAGCTTTGTTTCATATCAGATTGATGTAGTAGAAAATGTGGAAATAGGAAGGAGTAAAACCTACTTAGAAAGAGTTCTGTCAATATTTTTCAAGTTAGGTAAGCACTATACATTCACGCTGTGCTATGGCAATTCTACTTCCATGTACTTATTTAAGAAAAATGAAAATATATCCTCACAAAAACTTCTGTTAGAATGTTTATGGCAGTGCAGTTCATTAAACTAATGCCTGCACAAAACAAATAACAAGCACTTAATCAATTCAAACATGCTTGAATGAACAAGAGAATGGTATAGTTGACACTGATTATTTATAGATTGTGTGTCTGTGAATTTAAATGCACCCTAAAATTTATTTGTAACTTCAAAGTCAACACTTCAAGTTTGTTATAGGACACTTGCTGGCATGTGCCTATGTGCACAGAGCTGTGAAACATTTTAGTCACCTGGTGCATAGCTTCTCAGCTGAGGAGGAGCAACTGACATATTCTGCCTTTCTGTTCAGATACTGTATCTTTTTTAAAAAAAAATATGTATTGACAGGGTCTTACTACACAGCTCAGATTCATAGTGACTCTCCTGTTTTCTGCCTCCCCAGTGCTGAGATTACAGGTGTGCACCTCCACTCATGGTCTCAGATACTGTAAATAACTGTTCTTTTTCATGGTCTTCAGTGCTACTTTTTTGGGGGGTATTTTTGTGCTTTGTGTTAATTTTGCTGTTTAAAATGGTCTTCATACATAGTGCCAAAATGATATCTAATGTTGCTAAGTGCAGGAAGGCAGCAGTGGGCCTTACAAAGAGAATCTGAGTTAGATAAACTTCATTCAGGTATTAGCCCTAGTGCTGTTGACTGTGAATTCAGTGTTGAGGAATTAGTATATGTTAAATAAGGTGTCTTTAAAAAGAAGCACACATAAAATAAATGTTTATATATTGGATTAACAAAAATACTGTGACCAGAGGCTTGCAGTACTTATTGTATTTCCCCTAAGAACAATGACTAAATATTTCTCAATTTATTGTTCTTAGCAACTTTATAGTGCATACGTATCACAAATAATATGAGTCAACTGTATGTTCTCATGAGTAAATAGTAGTTAGCAATAAAACAAATGAAGGTAACAATGCATACAACATGGATAAGTGAAAAGAAGTCAGCCACCAAAAAATATACACTGTGTGACTCCTGTCATCTAGGGCTCTACAATAGCCCCAAATAATCATATTCTTTGTAAAGAAATATCAGCACTAATTGCCTTGATGTTGGAGAGGATTGACTTGGAAAGATGATGTGGAAATTATAGAATACATTTGTGGAAGACTGCCAAGCTGTGTTCTCCTGAGAAATGAAGCCCCTTGCTTTGATCTTTACCTGATTTTTACTTTACGCTATTCACTGAGATGTGCAGAGCAGGCTATACTGAAGCAGTTGTAACCTTAACTGGCCAGAGGTGTTGGTGAATCTCAGCATAGCAAGGCAGCAACACACAGGTGAGAAACAACATCCCCCCACTGACCGGCGCTGAGAAAAGACAAGACGGGGACTCCTTCTTTGTCTTTAGACTTCTTTATTCTCTGGCCTTCCTCCCTCCCCCTCTCCTAACCCCCTTCTTATGTGTCCCCCCCCCCCCGGACATATCAGAGGGAGCCAAGTATATCGTCCGACACAGGCAATAGGCCAACAGCCAGTTGCCTCGCAGGGCTGTGCGAACCAATCAAATCTTGCCAGCAGGGACCAGGGCTATACAGGAAACAAGACTCGTAGCAGACGCTCCAGCGGGAGGGGCAAGGCTGAGGAGCAGGGCGCCTGCGCCCGACACCCCACCATGAGAGTCCAGGGCTAAGACATGAGCTTAGATCTCAGCTGAGGCCATGGGACTCAGGAAGTATCTTCCTGAGCAGTGTAGGTGCCAGCCTTGCATACATCAAGGTATCCCTTGCATTGCTAGTTAGAGGGCCTCTGCATGGTACAAGAGCTCTTTGTTACTTTTTTTTTATTCTTTGAAGATACTTTAATTTTGCAGTTATTGATTAATTTAAAAACAAAAAAACCCAACTGTTTTCAGCATTTCCTAGCTATAGTAGTGCATAGGCAGTCTCATTCTAAATAAAGAAGTAATTAATGAAATAGCAACACACCTTTACACTTTACATTGATAGCTTACAGTTTACAAGATGCTTTCACATACATTATTTCATTTGAGTGTAAGCAGAAGAAAACATCAAGTGGGAAAGAAAAATAATTTCTGTCAGGCTTACAATGAGTGTTATCAGGCCAATGGCCGGTCAGCACAAGAACATACCGAGAACAAGATGGCAATAATCATAAGCCACAGGGTTGTTTTTGGTAGGCTGGCAGTTTGATAGCAACCATGTACTTAGCATGAGCGAATGAGGAAGGAATCAAGTCAGATACAAAGGTCTCATGAAATTTAAAGAACTGTACAACACTGGCAAAAATAAGAAAGATGCCCCAAAATGTCTCACCTTATTGAGACTTCAAAGCATAATGTCCCTTCAAAATATCAGATAAAAAGAGAGTCTTGTCATAACATGGTCAAGTTAGAAGGGGGCCTCAGAAAATGCCCCATCCAACCTTTCTACCCTACAGATAAGAGAACAAGGTCAAGGTCCTATCGACAGTTCCTGGCCGGAAATTCAGATGTCCTGACTTTCAGTCTGGGGCTCTTCTCTACACAACGCCACCTTTTAAATATTTGCTAGGCAAAGACATAACTTCTTCTGTTTTAAATAATGTGATTTGAAGTTAAATAGTGTTTTGCCACTTCTTATTCAAGTTTTTACCTTGTTTTTCAATAGGGCAGTGGATTGGTGGGCACTGGGAGCGCTAATCTATGAAATGGCAGCTGGCTACACCCCCCCATTCTTTGCAGACCAACCAATTCAGATTTATGAAAAGATCATTTCTGGGAAGGTCCAATTCCCATCTCACTTCAGATCTCAAGGATCTTCTGAGGAACCTCCTCCAAGTGGATTTTACAAAGCGATTTGGAAATCTGAAGAATGGTGTGAGTGATATAAAAAGCCATACTTGGTTGGCCACAACAAATTGGATTGCGATTTACCAGAGGAGGGTTGAGGCTCCATTCATACCAAAGTTCAGAGGCTCTGGAGATGCCAGCAACTTTGATGACTATGAAGAGGAAAATATCCGTGTCTCTATAACAGAAAAATGTTCAAAAGAATTCAGTGATTTTTAGAGAGATGGCAGCCGAGCTCACACTCACTCTCTGCACACTTGAGATACAAGGTGGAGCCCAGAGCGCCCCTGCCACAGCAGTTACCTATCGTTCATTCCAGCAGCTGAGTGAGGTCTTACCACCGTCGTGTGTGCGCTCCACATCCACTTCTAACCAGGCACCACTCAGCAACCTTGTCTGTGCTGTGACACAGTTGAGACCACTTTCCTGTTTTCTGGGTGTCTTTCTCCCCATTCCTCCATCCATT